GAGGTTTTTAAGGTCAGGCTTGACAAAGCCCTGGCTGGGATGATTTAGTTGGTGTTGGTCCTGCTTTGAGCAGGGGGTTGGACTAGATGAACTCCTGAGGTCCCTTCCAACCCTGATATTCTATGATTATATGATCGCCTGGTAAACTGTGCACAAACAAATGAGTTTTAATACATCTAAATGTAAATGTGTACATCTATGGATAAAGCAAGTAGGTCATACTTACATGATGGGGGACTCTATCCTTAGAAGCATTAACTCCGAAAAAGATTTGGGGGTTGTGGTGGATAATCAGCTGAACATGAGCTGCCAGTGTGATGCTATGGCCAAGAGAGCTAATGCCGTCCTTGGGTGCATGAACAGGGGAATCTCGAGTAAGGTCAGAGAGATTATTTTACCTCTGTATTTGGCACTGGTGTTACTGCTGCTCTAATACTGTCTAGTTGCGATGCCCATAATTCAAGAAGGATGTTGATAAATTGGAGAGGGTTCAGAGAGGAGCCACCAGAATGATTAAAGGATTAGAAAATATTCCCTATAGTGAGAGACTGAAAGAGCTCAATCTTTTTAGTTTAACAAAGAGAAGATTAAAGGGTGACTTGATTACAGCCTATAAATATCTACATGGGGAACAAATATTTAATAACGGGCCTTTTAATTTAGCAGAGAAAGGTATAAAAAGATCCAATGGCTGGAAGTTGAAGCTAGACAAATTCAGACTGGAAATAAGACATACATTTTTAAAGGTGAGAGTAATTAACCATTGGAACAATTTACCAAGGGTCATGGTGGATTCTCCATCACTGACAGTTTTTAAATCAAGATTGGCTGTTTTTTTCCTAAAGGATCTGCTCTAGGAATTAGTTTGGGGACGTTCTATGGCCTGTGTTATGCACAGTGTTAACCCATCACTTTAGCATATGCTGAATAAGGAAACCAGACCTCCCTGGCTGTGTTTTGGGACCCAGGTCCTCAGCTGGTGTAAACAGGCACAGGTCCAATGACTTTAGTTCAGGATCTGACCCTCAGTGTCCACATGACATACTGAGATGGCATCATAGTGCTGTGCCACAAAGTTTGCCAAATTGAATCTCCCGAAGCCTAGCTACAATTCTGTACACTCGATTGTGGCTGCTGCAGATTATAGCCCCAGAGGAGTAAACTGCCAAAGCAGGCTCCCGTGGTTCCTCCTGAAAATAAGAAGATGTGCAGGGAGATATCTGAAAGGAAAATCAACTCATGCTCCTTGCTGTCAGCCCATCTCCAGTGGTGGCAGCATCAGTGTGGTGGATAAATATCAGGAGGCTACAATTGATTTAGGCTTCAGATGATTACAGAACCCCTTGTCTGTTTTGCTACATTGTATATCTCAGAGATGAGAGAGGATGGAAAGAGGGAAAGAACTGATCTGTGTTGCCCCAGGCAGACTTATTTCAGTTGTTATTCAGTTCAGTCCAATTTGCTGCTTGGGTTTGCCTATTGATTGGGACATTAAATAAATAGAAAAGACCAGTAACTGGAATTTCACGGTCTCACTGCTCTCATCTTCTCACTGACGGAGGGAAATAGTTTTGAACTTTCATAGTAATAACGTGGTTTATTCAGCGCCTTTCTTCCTGAAGGATCTCAGAGTGCTTTTACAGCTGAATACATCCACAACCACACTGGAAAATGATGCACAGCTGGTTCTGGAGTAGAATGATGCATCTAAATAGGTCTCAGCACAACAGTTGAGGTGGGAAATTTGGGCCAAGGCCATTGGGGCAAAATCCTACTTAACATTGGTACATGATCTCCTGGAGGCGCATGTCACTTTACATAAGGAATAAAGATGTGATTCCTGCCCTGAGAAGCTTGCAACTTAAAGGCCCATCAAAGTCAACGAGAACCTTTCCAATAATATCAGTGGCCTTTGGCTCAGCACCTGGGATTCAGTTATGCATGATGGGCCAACTGATACTGTACTGTAGTGTAATTTACATGGGGAGCATTGTCCAGGACAGTGGAGTTATCCTCTGCTTTTGTGAAACATGCCATAGGATTTGTAACTTCCACCTGGACAGCTACCAAAGGTGTGCTACTCTCTGCAACATCTCATCCACTGAATGGCACCTGTAACGATACCTCCTTTACTACCATACGTCTATGCCAGCATTGACTGCAGCCTCTAGTCCTGGTGGGTCAAATCCACCTCTCTGCAGGTAGCGACCACAAAGCCTATTCACTCTAAATACCACTTGCTGGCCCTTTGCACAAGGGTGATGGTTACCTGGTGTGACTGTAACCATAATCATCTGACCTGCTGCTGCTAACAGAGACCTGCTTGCCACAGGCGATCTCCCTCCCAAGTGTAATCAGATCAAAGGATAGGCACAGCTTCTGATTTTGTGTAGCAGCATAGCTCACTCCATCAGTTATTGTGGCTCTGCCTGCTGCTTTCTGTTGTTTTGAGAGTGCAAAGGGGTCAAGCCATAAGACTGAGAGATGGACTAAGACTTGAACCAATAGGAATTAACTAGATGCTTTTTGATCCCTATTGTTGGTCCAGTGCAGTGCAGCTGAAATGACAGCATTTGGTATAAAGCCATTTGCAATAGTAACAACAAAGCTGGCTTTAGAAGGGTGATTAGTTGACGGAGGAGCCTTTCACTGCTGGATCACTGGTTGAAATCCAGACCAGGCTGCAAGTCACCCAAAGCGATTACCGTCTGATAAGTGGTTTATTTAAAATAAATCTTTACCTCCTACCTTTCTGAGGTTCACTTTATTAGTAATTATAACTGTGCTACTGTGATAACGCATTTACAGAGGATTAACACTAGCAGCAGCCAGTCCGATTTGTCCTTAGAATCTGTGAATTAACATTCACGCATTCCAGGAATCTAAAATGAGAACCTAGATTAGTAACTCTAACCTTGGGTTACCAGTAGCTTTTACCAATATTACATAGAAGGGGCAGCTGTTAAAGTGACTGATGAAATTTGGGCAAGAGCTGGCATTTTGATTTTTTTTCCTGCTAATTGGAGCTGTTCTATTTGGTTGTCTGATCAGTTGTTAAAATGGACTGGCATTGACTTTGGTGTTGATTTTGCTTTCATTCTATGTGGGGGTTAAGATTAGGGACTATTTGGGGCTCTCTCTTTGTGAGAAAGGTACAGCTAAGACAAACGAGGATACAAACCACCAGAGCAAGGCTATGAAGTCCAATAATAAATGACATTAGTAATATTTTGCGGGGACTGAGAGTCAGGACTCCTGGTTCCCAGGCAAATGACACTGCAAAATGGCAAAGTATTCTTATTAATGTCCTCCTCTGTCCACCTTTTTTCACATAGTAGAGATTATGAACAGCTTAAAGGCTGACTGACATTCAGCTGAGCCTTGTAAAGGCAGTTAGCTGAAAACACAAGGGCCTGATCAAAATGGATGGTGGATTCCCATAGGGCACTTTTTTTCACCAGGGTGGAAGCCACTTGCTTAATGTGAGTGACATGTAGGTAAATGAAATAATACCCTACCAGCCTGCTGTCATTGGAAAGGAATACAGATGGAGACTGAACTGCCAGGTGGAGCTGTCTTGAAGGTCAGAGCATTTTATTTAGCACGAATCAGTGTCATTTGTGGAGATGAAATCTGTTCAGACTTTAATAGGATAAATCACAAGGGATCTTCTAGGATAAATCAAAAAGGCTTTTTTTCCAAAGCAGTAAGTAATTTGAATGAAGAACCAATGCATGGCTTTTAAAATTGAGACTCATGCAGTATTTTGAAAAGAAAGGGCGAGAGCAATTCCTGATAAAGGGGCGAGGAATCAGCATTGCCACACCGACATCCCCAACTGGCAGCTCATAGAATAACTGATCACTAGGATGGCTTAATGCTCATTGAGTGCAAAATCCACCCCCTGTACATTTGCCACGAATTTCGTGGGGATCCGATGAATTTAGAGAAAGTGGAGTATGTGGGAGGAGAAATTTTCAACATGTCCTGACAGTTAACTTTCAACTCCGAGAGGGAAGTAGAGCTGGGTTCATGCCATAGGTTTAACATTGTTGATTCCCAGGCTCAGAAGCGAGTGTAAATCAATAGCTAGCGATGGCAAACACTTAAGTTGAATAATAGAGAGAGAATATTATACTGTATAGAGTTTCCTCCAAAGACCTTGGCTTAAATAAATGTCTAAATTCAAGTCTACCGCTGTTTCCATCTAATTCTATTATACAGTCTCTATTTAGACTCTGTTGCTTGATCCATTTCTGACTTTGGTCTCAGTAGCATTTATATAAAACAATATATCATTTTGCAGTCTGCTCACAGTGTTTCCTCAACCTGCTTTCTAGTTTTTCTGGAGGCAGCGACGTCTAGTGGTTAGAGTAGACTGGAATCGGGGTCCCTTCTTTGCTGCTGGCCTGCAGTGTTACTGTGGGCAAATCATTCAACCTCTTTGAGAGTGATTTTAAGAGTTTGATCGATGCCCCCGTTGAATTCAATGGCCAAAACTCCCATTGACTTCCACGGGCATAGAATAGGACCCTCATGACTCTGTTAAGTAAATGAGAATTTTGCCATTAAATTCAATGACAGCAGAATCAAACACTACATGAATAATAATACTTAGCTTTTAGATAGTGCCTTTTATCCCTAGATCTCAAAGCACTTTACAAAAGAAGTTATTTTTTTTCATTACGACCATTTAACAGACGGAGAAACCGAGTCATAGAGAGGCGAAGTGACTTACCCAAGATCAAAGTGCAATGACTCCCACTCCAGTTCCCTGTATATTGGACCACATTGCTTCTCTTTAATTGGCGTGTGATGTACCCAGCGTTAGTACTATTGGAGTGTATGCAATAATGAGCTAAATCCACTGGATGCAGAGCTGCGGTGCTTCTCCTTCAACGTTTTATTCCTCCAAACTATTCACGCTGCCCGGTGTGCTTAGGGAAACAAATACTGAAATCTACCAATGAAGATAACACTCCTGTATATTTGTTTTTCAGCCACAGCCCAGCTCACAAGTATTACCTAACATCAGACCCAATCACTGGCTCCATCTACCTCTCTGACACTAACAGCCGACGCATCTATAAGATCAAGTCGACCTCCATCGTGAAGGATGTTGTCAAGAATTCAGAGGTGGTGGCAGGGACTGGGGATCAGTGCCTTCCCTTTGATGAAACCCGCTGCGGAGATGGGGGCAAAGGCACCGAAGCAACACTCACTAACCCCAGGGGTAAGACGCAGCCTCTTCCTACAAGCATTTTAAAGCGGGCTTTGAAAAAGGTGCCAAACCAACAGTTCTGGAATACCACAGAACAGGTATACAAGCTTCCCCAAGGCAACCCGCTAACATGCCTCAGGGTACGTCTACACTACCCGCCAGATCGGCGGGTAGTGATCGATCTATCGGGGATCGATTTATTGTGTCTAGTGTACATGCGATAAATCGATCCCTGATTCCTCTGTCGTCAACTCTTGTACTCCACTGCGGCGAGATGCGGAAGCAGAGTCGACGGGCGAGCGGCAGCAGTCAACCCCACACCGTGAGGACGTGAGGTAAGTCGACCTAAGATACGTCAACTTCAGCTACGCTATTCTTGTAGCCGAAGTTGCGTATCTTAGGTCAATATCCCTTCCCCCGCCCCCCCGCCCCCCCCCCCGCCCCCAGTGTAGACCAGGCCTTAGTCCTGAGCTGGAGGGATCACCGCTAGGGATGAATGGATTGTTCAACCGCAGGCCCTTCCAGTCCTTAGCCTTGTATTGAGACTGCTAAGAATGGTGCCAATTTGGAGGGGGGTGATTTTATGGACTTGTGTCCAGTGTGAACTGTACTGAGAGGACCAATCCATTTCATATACCACTTAGCCCCCCAAAACACCATGAGAGAATTACAATTTTTGATCACTACCCATCTGGACTACATTCAGTTAAATTCAGTTCAGTTCATTGAGACTTTATTGGCATAAAAGGCTCTGCAAGTGTTGCTGTATATAAAATAGAGACAAACCCCTCAGGTATCTCTCAGAGGTAAGTTGAAGCCAGGGTTACACACTGCAGTTTGATCCCTTGCGATACAGGGCTTGTCTACACGAGAAAGTTACACTGGTTTAACTACAAATATGATTTTAACCATTATAGTTAAGCCCATGCAAAAGGCTATGTGGACACTAATTTTGATACAAAAGTGTCTTATTTCAATGTAGTTTAAACCTGTTCTGGTCAATTTAACCTAAATTGAAATAAGCCCACTTAAACCAAAATAAGAGAGTTTACATAGACTTTTACGCTGGTTGAACTAATTTGGTTTAAAATCACACGTTTAGTCAAACCAGTGCAACTCTTTATGTAGCCAAGTCCTCAGACTGGCAATCTAAAATTGACGAGCTCTGCATGCAATTACCAACCTCCTGAGCCAGCCACTGTTCCTCGATAAATCCAGTCTTAAGACCAGATTGCAGTGAGGCTGTGATATATGTAGGAGAGAGGGTACTGTTGGCTTTCACATCTTTATTCAAACATTTCAACCAAAAAGCCCAGATACCTTTCCAAGTAGGACATATGCTTCCCATGCATGTGTTATCTCACTGGGATGGTGGCCTTTACACTCATTTGGTTTTGCTCAGCGTTGACAGGCTTGTGTTGCAAAGACTTGTTCTCACTTTAACGATGGATTGTATTCAAATGCAGTGGCTGGGTAGCAGCCGAAGGGAAGTCAGCCCTGCAGTTTTACTTTTTTTTAGAGAAAATACCTTCATTCATACTATATGATGGACGGCTGCATGTGTAAAAGTGAGGGAAGATCCTCTGCAGAGACTGACTGATGCTGCTGTTCTAGATGAGTTATATGCGCAAGGAGCCCCTTCTGCTGCTCTGGTTGCCTGTCTTGTTGCCTGTTGGTTAGGAACCTAGGGAATTATTTACGAGGTGTTGGCTTTAAAAACAAAAAAGTCACACTTGGGCCTCCTGCCCAGCTACATCTGCACATTTAGCGTCAGTGTGTGGCAGGTTTCTCTCTCAGTCACAGGGAGAGGTTATAGGACCCCGTTTTCCATCAGCGCTCCCATCTCCAAGCCTGTGCACCTGGCTGGAATCTCTGGAGTGGGGGAACCTCCTGGCAAATACGTGGGGCCTTTCATGTGTCGCTTTCACAGTGGAGCAGTGGAGGTGGAGACAGCAGGGCTGTGTCTGTCCTGGCTAGACGGGTTGGGAAATTATTTTTCTTGACATACAGATGACATTATTGTTATGGCATCCCAGAAACGAGAAGTGATTTAGCGACCTTTTGTGTCGGCTCCAGTTGTGAATCTTTGTTATGTGTGGGCTAGTTATGATTCCTACATTTCCCCCTCTAGAAGGTGGGGGAAATCATACTTTCCTTCCTCCTAGGGGTGTTGTGAGGCTTACCTAAATAATATTTGTAGTATGTTGTTATGAAATTGTGCAAAGTATTACGGGGGCCACTGAGGGGAGCAGAACTCAAGAGTTCTGGACTCCCAGCTTCATGATCTATCCTCTTAGTGATTTGAACTCTTAGGAGGCTGCTCCTCCACCTCAAAAGTGAAATCAGTGTGAATATATGCTTTAAGGCATCTCTGATATTTCTTGTGCTTCAATGTAGAACCTGTTTGGCCTTCGGAAATTTTGAAAAATAAAACCACATCGAGGGTGAGAATGGCAATCACCAGAAACAAACTGCCAAAACATGTCACGTGAATTTTCATATACATTTTGTCCCCACTTTCATCCAGCTCTACTTCCACCCATGGATTTGTAGAGTCACCTGAGTAAATAGCTCTGACTAATGTGACTTGCTCCCCATTCATCTCAATAAATTATTAACACTGAAAACTAATGTTGACAAAATAATGTCAACTTCATTTACTAGCTCACTACCAATCATTCTAGAGTACCAGTGAACGCTCTTTCATTTTGAAGTATTATGAAATACAACTGGAGCAAGCAAGCGACTTCTTAGACCTGTAACCAGCAGTCCTTAGACTTGCCCCTACCTTCTCTATTTCTCTGGAGAGCAGAGTGCCAATGCGCGTGGATGGGCAGAGGAGAGTAGAAAACAATTCTGTGTGCCGAGCTGGCTGAATGTATCCAGCAGTTCGGGCAGCTGCTGGCCAGGGAAGCTTTTGGAAGATTCAGTCTGCAGCTAGCTCTGCAAGGCTCTACTCTTTCTAAGTCTGAAGCCACGTCTTGACCCAAAATATTAATCTAGGCATGGGAGCAGGAACTTTGGTTTGCAGCAGAGAAGCAAGGTCCCCTTTCCAGCTTGTATGCAGCTACCAGGGAAGCAGAGGTCTTTGCTTGCATGGACAGCTTCAGCAGGGGGATCTCTCCCACTTGCCAGAAAATACTCAAGAAGATGAATGTGACAATCTTGCAGAGCTAGCTGTAGCCGATGAAGAGTCAGGCCCAAGGTATCAAAACCCTCACCTGGACTCTCCATGGCCCATTCCCTCCTTGGCTCCTCTGCTGAAACAAGGCATATTAGAAATACAGCAGATCAATAGATAAAACACGGGTGGCAGTTGCAGGATCGGTGGTATTTGTTAATCACTGGTCTGGCCCTTCCAATTCATTTGACACAGAGCGTGGCAGAGCTTTCAGATGCTAATGAATTTCAGTATACTCTGTACATTAAAGTGTTATCACTTTCTAATTATCATCTGCTAATACTGATCTTATTCTACAAGCAAGCTTCAAAAAAAATATTAGAACTCCAGCTTGTCAGAGTGTTTTGTTTCCATCTAAGCACTCGCCAGTGGGTCTTGTCACGAAAATGTTGTGGCAGTGAAATTGCCAAGAAGCCTGCAATTAACAGAGATCCAAGCGACAAGACTGACACAATATGAAGATCGTTTCAGAAGGGGGGAAAAAGTCCATCCATTCAGCGCCACAAAAGAGATGCAAAATGAAGTAATTAATTTGAGGACAGATCATTTCCGTCGGTGTGTAGTACTGCATGCATGAGCAAAACCTCAATTGTTCACTAAGTGCTCATCAATTCTAGCAGAATAAAAAAATAACAGGAAAGACAAGCATTTATCCAGCCAGACAAGGAAGCTCCATGTATAGGTTTCTTCTGAACCTAACTAACTTGTATTCGGGTTGTGAGGATTAGAGGAGATCCCATTCCTTTACATCTTCTCTGCCATCGGACGAGGATCTCCATTCAGCATCGTATGTACTGAGCTGTGCACCATGAGCTGCCGCATTCATTTCACATGATCTTATTGGGATTTTTTGTTAATAGGTGCCCAGGTGTAGGGTAACCACTTTTAGCTGTTCCTACTCTCTGGTATCAGTTCGCCCTGCAGCTTCTTGCTGTCCTGTCATCAGGCCACGAAGCCCTGACGTTACAAAAGAAATGCCCTCATGAGACAGCGTTCCACCAGCATAACGCATTATCATGACACTTCAATGGCACTGCAAGCCCTGCTTGCTAAAGGATGTTGACCACCCCAGAGGAGCTGGGGTGATTTCACATTTGGCAGCCCAGATCTTAAAATTCTGAGGTGCCGTACTGCAGTCCTTACTCAGGTAACATCAATGGGAATCTCATCTGATTAAGGTATCTGCACACCTGGGCTTTTGATTTGCAGGTCAACCATCTTTCATTCTAATTGTGTTGCTGTAGGTAAACGAGAGAAGGCTTCAGAGGCCTTCAGTTCAGCATGTGAACTAGTGAACTTCAGTTCAGACAGTGAACTAGCCTCAGCTGTGCCTACTGTAAGTAGCCTGCCCAAAAGATGTAATTTCCTGTAATTAACTCCCCAAAAGGGTCCCCTTCCAGAGAGGAAAAATGAAAATTCCTTGAAGAGATGAAGTGGTAAATTAAGCCCGAGAATAGCCCTGACCCCTATAGTCTGCTACACGGTAACCATCAGTACTTCTCTCTCTCCAAACTGAAAACTATCCGTTCCAAAGGCATCGGTCTAAAGGAGGGTGGAGCTCCTCATTATGAGAACATCAGAAAGTTTAATTCCAAGAAGAGCAAGTAAAGTGACCTAGTGTGGAATATACACCATACGAAGACAGACTGATGGCACTTATTTAATGCCTGTATCCCATCTCCTGGGTTTGATCTGTGGTGAGTTCGTTGGGCAATGAGGGGAAGCTGAGAGGGCTCTAAACAGCCTTCCTTTCTCCCCTGCCAGCCTTCAGCCTAAAGAGCAGCTGGACAGTCCACTAGGGACCATTCTGTTGGCCCACAATAACCAGAGGCCCTGCACTGCCCTCATACACAGCCTGCATGGAGAGCAGGATGGAGCAGGTGACATAATAGCAGCATTCGGATTTCCCTACATCAGGAATCCCCATCTACTCCTTTAGGGCAGCTTTAAGCCAGCAGGGAAAAGGGGACTCAGGCTAAACCAAGGATCAGGCCCTTTTCTTCCTTTGTCTATACCACTGAATTCTCTTTCCCTGTTACTATTTAACTAGACAAGTATAATGTTTAACTCACTAAAGCATTTGGGGTTACAATTTTTAGGAAAGATACTTTGCAAAATAAAGTTGTATTGTGTTAGTGGTTAGAACCGAATCCTGGAAGCAAATATACACGTGGCCTGATTTTGCTGTAGCTGGCTAATCAGCCCAGACTGCATTACCCAGACATTAGACCCAAGTATCGACCACTGTGAAGAGCTGTCAGCATACTTGGCTGATAAGCTCAACTGAAAACATATGGAACTAACTAGGAAAGAAAACTCCAGCCCTGACCAAATTGTATTATCCACCCCCCACCCCTGATTGAGCTTGTACCCATCACATATGCTGAAGCTCAAGAAGCTCTGAAAAATATTAAAGCCCCAAGCTTTGAAATGAGTCCCGGCCCCTCTTGGCTGATAAAAACCAGTGAAGAACTAAGCCCACTACTAATGGAAATAGTTGATGCCCTTCTTCAGAGATGCATACCTACTAAACCCTTTGAAAAGTGCAGTACCATCCCAAGTCCAACCACCCATTCCTGGGCAATATAACTGAGAAAATAATAACCACCAAGCTCTAATGGCATGTGACCTCCTGGTTGGCTCACAATCAGGGTTCAGACCACGGCACTGCACAGAAACTGTTCTAGTGGCATTAAAAGACAACCTCCTTAAGTCCATGGGAAAGGCAAGATCTCTATGCTCATATTACTGGACCTCTCTGCAGCCTTTGACACAGTGGGGCACAAGCTACTGCCAACCCATCTACGTGACATCGCAGGAGTAGATGGCCCAGCACTACAGTAGTTTCAATCATTCTTCTGCCGCAGAAACTCTGAGGGTGGTGTTAGGTATCTGCTCCTTCTCTCCAAAGGTCCTCACCTGCAGATTCCCACAAGTATCTGTAATGTATGTGTCCCAGACTGGTGGGTGAGCTAGTGAAATGCCAAGGACTTAGCTGCCAACAGTATGCCAGTATTATTCCACTAGATATTTCATTCTAAACCAATGCAACCACTGCCACTGCTAAAACATCAGAATGCGGCCAAGAAATCCAACTCCTGGTTCAAGAATGGCTGGCTCAAGCTGAACCCAAGCAAGACCAAAGTGATGCTAGTCGGAAAGGGGACACACTTCAAAGAACTGGCCAAGATGTTGTCTCCACCTTTCATGAAAGGTGTACAGCCCCCTTCATCAAAGTATTGCGAAGCCTCAGCGTCCTGGTTTACCCCTCACTAAGCTTGTATGACCAGGTAGCATCAGTATCTAAAAATGCCCTTTCTCACTTCCAGCTCACTATGAATCTTTGTCCCGTAAGCACAGATGAGGACCTGGACACCGTGATCAATGCATTCATGTCCTCCAGACTGAATGGCTGTAATTCACTGTATTTGAAGTTGAATGTGAAGATGATGCCCAGACTTCAGCTGATACAGGATGTGGCTGCACGCCTTCTCCGTGGTTTAGGTCACCATGAGCTCATCAGGCCCATGCACCAATGTCAGGCCCAGGCAGCTTCTGATGTCAGTTTAAGACTTTGGTCCTAATCTTCAAAGCAATTAATGGCTCAAGCCGCAGCTACATCAGAGACTGAATTTCAAAGTATAGTTGCACTCCTCTGGGGCAGTGCAAATCACAAAGCCTGGGACAAAGCATGTGGAAGCTGAGGACAAAGCGTTCTCAGCCAGGGGATCTGGTTATTAACCATGCTCCCAGAGGAGATCGGGGAGCCGAGAGTCTGACTGTCTATAGGAAATGCTGCAAAACCTTCCTCTTCAAAAAAGGCCTTTTGAGCAGTAGAATGACATTCACATCATTGTTACCTTCTCCTATCCAAAGAAACCCGAACCCAAAATACGAAATTAATAGACTCTAAAAGATGGAAAAACCCTTCCCCAAGCATAGTTTTAACCTGAAAAGGGAGACCTGTCAGAGACTCCATGAAGTCCACCATGGACTTTCAATATTGCCATTCATTTTATATTGAAGGGGCTAAGGTATTACAGTGATGGGCAGCTGTATAAAACACTAAGATTGAGAATTCCATTAACTTCTACTCTTGATTTATACCAATATGAAAGAGAGGTGAATGGGGTCCTTGATTTCTGTTCCGGGCTTTGCCAGTGACTCACTGTGCGACCTTGTGAGAGTCACTTTATCTCTCATTTTTCCCATCTGCAAAATGAAGATGATCATGCCTAGCCCATAAGGGTGCTGTGAGCTCTAATTTGTAAGTATAAAGCCCTATGAGAGCCTCTTATGACAGGGGCTTTAGAAATGCAGAGTACAGATAGCCTGGGAAAGAGAGAATTAAGGGAGGTTGTGTAAACAGGGCAAGTGCTTGAGAAGTGATGCTAGAAGGGGCCTGAGGGTGGTTAAAGGTGGAGCAGTGGTCTGAAGCTAAAGATGGAAAAGTTCAAATCAGACATTTAGAATGTGTCTTGTGAGAAAGGGGAATGAGACAATGAAATAAGTGGTCTACATGTGTTCACAGAAAGGTTAGTTAAAATGCTGTGGGATTAATATATGGAAAAGCTCTCTTTTTCTTTCAGCAATTCATTGAAAATCCCGTACTACGTTCAAAGAATGGACAGTGATTCCTAAATAAAATTGTAGGGCCTAGTTCTCTGCTGCAGTTAGTTGCTACTGACTTCAGTGGAGTAGTGCCAGGTTTCATTGGCCCACTAGTTGGCCAAATCAAGTATAATTAACTTTTATTCCATTAAATAAATTTCTCCCAGCATCCTCATTCACTTAGGCCCTGAACTCCTTTCACTCCGGTTGGAGTTGGCACAAGCCTTTAGACATCATCATTTATAAAGAGGCATATGCAGGGCCGGCGCAACCCATTAGGCGACCTAGGCAGTCGCCTAGAGCACTACAATTTGGGGGGCGGCGACTGCAGCGGTATTTCGGCGCTGGGACCTTCCGCTGCCTCTTTGGGGGGCGGCATTTCGGGGCGGGACCTTCCGCCGCCTAGGGCAGCAGAAAAGCTGGTGGCGCTCCTGGGCATATGTCGAGCAATGCTAAAAAACATTTGTTGCCTCAGCAAGGTATTTTGTTATCCTCTGGTGACCTTTCATTTGTGATTTCCCTGCTCTTCTCCTTCCTAGGCATCACTGTGGACAAGTTTGGGTTGATTTACTTTGTAGACGGCACCATGATCAGACGTATTGACCAGAATGGGATTATCTCAACCATGCTGGGCTCCAATGACTTGACATCTGCCAGGCCTCTCAGCTGTGACTCTGCCATGGACATTTCTCAGGTACAAAAACTTGTATCAAATCAAAAGACCAGGCCAGTTTTACTCTTGCTGTCCTATAACGACTAGGGGCAGGCTTGCTTTTTTGTCACTAGACAATTTGGCACCGCACAGTTTTAGGACTGAATCAAATTAACATCTGGGAAATAGTGATAGGATGCTGTGGTGCCAAAATTAGCATCAGCTGGAAAACAAGTATTTTGAATTGCATCAAATTGCAAATTGGTTGTCGCTACCGTCATCCTGGGCTTTTAAGTCCTGCTGGTTAAAGGCAAAAAACCCCCAAAGTTCCGTGTTTGATTATTTCTTTATTTGTGGCTGGGACAGTAGGCAAACCTGTTACTGGCCAGGACTCAATTTTCTGGGGTGCTGCCCATCCCATCAAATAATGCCAGTTTGGAGGTACAGTCATTTAAAACCTTTTTTGCCATTTATTATTGGATGGCCGGAGGAATGTCACCCCGTTCTGCAAAAATACAAATCCTAGCTGGTGGGCTAAGTACTGTTATTCAGCCACAATGGATATCAATGGGGTTTCCCTTTTGTAACTACCTACATAATTTTCATGCTCCCATATGGAATCTATTCTTCATGTTTTCCCCCCTAATTTGAAAAGATTACTCTTGCTTCTTTGTAGCAGGTTCCCACTGTCCGCAATTCATGAAAAGCTAAAATGACAAGTTTAAAAGCTCTCATGCCTCATATAGAGGTAAATTTTGATGGTTAAAGGCCATCTTGCAGCATAATGGCCCCCATCTCACAAGCATAGTCCTTTCTTTAACAGGATCTTAGTGCCAATCAGAGGAAGTTTATTGTGGACCAGGCTTTTTAAAAATATATTTTCAGCTCGCTTATAGCTTTTATATAATAATGTCCTCTTTAAACAGTTCTGAGATGGGTTCAAAATATGCCATCTGCATCCCCCGTCTCCCCATTCTTTAAAGTGAAAGGAGCTGTTCTCAGATAGTTCTGAGACAGACAGACACAACAGACAAGTTTTAAAAAAACTCAGCTTGGGGAACTATCTTTTCATCATTTATAGTGACTAGAAAAGTCTCAGCAGTCAGGCCCCTGAGGCACTGCGAGACCAGAGGGCATGAAATATTTAGCTGCCAACATTGACAAGAAATGGCTTTTAAGGAACTGAAAATTCCCTTGTCAGTTCTGAGTAAACTCTGCTCTTGACGCTAACTCAAGGCTCCAGTGGAGCAATGCTCTAAAGACTATATGGGAATGTATGGAGACATGCATTATTGATAGGGTTACCATATGTAATAAATAAAAAAAGAGGACCCTCCACGGGCCCTGGCCCCGCCCATTTCCCCACCTTCTAGCCCCGCCCTAACTCCGCCCCCTCCTCCCTCCCACTCCCAGCCACGGGGAAAGGGCTGCCCCAGCGCTACCGGCTTCACGGTTTGCCAGGCAGCCCCCAGACCCTGCGCCCCCGGCCCGCACCCCCAC